ATAAATGTTGCATTAGTAACGAAAACGGAAAGCGATGACTACTTGTTTGCAACCCCGGAAATATTGATATCCCTCTCTTTCACCCCTTTGCGATTAACGCCTTTCTGAACTCCGTCTTGATTTTGCCATGTAGTAGCGGCATACTTTTTACAGTCGATGGCTTCAGTGTAATGTGTCAGTCGTATACTCATCTGTCACACGATTGTATTGAAATGTAGAAATACATTAAAATTACGCTTATTTGAATGTTTTGTGCCTCTGGCTCAGCACAGAACTTTTACCTATGCGGTCGAACGGATCATATGTGCATTTTGGATTGATTACTGTGACTCGGTTCTGTGCCAATTGGTGGTACGTCTTCCAACGTTTGTTCACTTAGGCTAAATTGAGTTAAAGCCTGTTCTTTAAAATTGGCTTTATTCTTTGTGCATAAAATTTTGTCAGTAAATTTTATATTTAAAAATGTTTCATCTCTATGGTCTTTAAAGTATTTATTCTGCACAGCTGTCTACAAGTGGTATGGTGTCTTGGATCGTGCTGGGTACATCTTTACGTTCTTTAACGCACAAGGGTTTTAGGAAGTTTTCCATGAAAACTGCTTCTACGATATATGCCATGAAAATAACAAACCTTTTAAAGACCGTTTTGATAAAAAACAATGTTCCCTTTTGTGAAGAGTCAAAGTACTGCAAAGGGTAATTGTTTTTTCTACTATAGGCGATGAAAACATATCAGTTGTGCTTTGCGGCGTGTTGCAACGCTGAGTGCAAGTACAAAGTGGCAGAGTCGCAAAAGAACCGCTTCGAAGAAGCGTTCCCGAAGAAAATCGGCTATCGGAAACATAAGGCACTCGAGAAGGAGTTGGAAAAGGTACGCCAGCCGTTGATTAGGCGGTGGTTTTTCCCTCCTTTTTCCAAGAGGTGTTTTTCGATGGGCGATGTTTTCAGCGCGAAGGACGATTCATGGAATTCAGCATGAAAGCGTTGAAAGCCAGAAACGACTACCTGCTGTGCATCGATGCCGCGAACGCTGCTTTGCACAAGTATTTCGCCGACGATCTGTCAGACCTGATCGACGTGAGCTTATAATTTAATTTATGTAATGTTGTTTTATCGTCAATTTAATCAACGGTACCTTGAAATTAGTTAGAGCCTGAAAGCTGACTAGTCGACGGGACAGTTGCTACTGTCCTTTCCAGAAATACTGACTGGCTCAAAGGAATGGCATATGCTTTTCGAACTTTGCAGTCCTGAAAATTGTACTCTAGCGCTAACCGATGCCGGATAAGTGTCATATTTTCACGGATAATTTGTCGTTAGGAAAAAGCGAAAGTTTGTAACTGTTTGAGATATCCGTCTCACTTTCATGGTTACGGACCGTTTGTGGTTCCCCTTGTTTCATCAAGTTTATGGTATTGTACTGATCTCCGTTTCTAGTGCATCAGCCAGGAGTATCTTATTACTTAAACGGAGTCTACACCACATGGCAAACGCAGCGCGTAGTTTCCTCTTTCCTTACCCACAGAGTAGTACTCATTTATCACCTTGGAAGCAAGAAATACGAGTGACCCCGACCTGACCGGGGCTTGAACTTTGGACTTATTGGTTCTAAGTTAGACGCTCTACCGTCTGAGCAATCTCGGACTAAAGCAGCACGTGGTAAATTTCTTGCTTAAGGGAATTTGTGAATAAGAGAAATTTATTTAGTGCAAATTTTCCTCCAACCAGACGTCGCCGATGTTCAAAGCAGACTTCTTAGGCCTTGTACTACAACGCATGCAACCTGTAAGAAAATTGCTCTGGACGTAATTTAAGCAGCCCTCGTTTTCCTCGAATATACGCTGAAAACATTTTGTGCCATATATCCCCACATAAAGGTTTGTAAACAGAAACAGCTGATCTGATCAGCTCAGAAACAGAATTCTGTTTCCTCCCGTCTACCCGATGATAGATTATTATTATTATTATTATTATCATCATCATCATCATTATTATCATTATTATCATTATTATCAGTTACGATATAA